CGCATTTCTTGGATGTCGGTGATGTCAGCTTTTGTCCTTACGAGGACATAAACCAGATGGGCAGAGGCACCTTCCCCATTAAGGGTCCGGACATTCCAGGTGCATGCCCTCAAATCGTAGTCCTTTAAACGTTTGCCGTGGTCGTCATCATAAGGGGGGGTCTCATCCGAGGCTTTGCCTTGCTTCTTCACTGGAAGTGGTTTTTACGTGGCGGGTCCCAAGCCCAGCGCACAACCCATTGCTGGGACGGGGGTGGTTTCGCAACCAAATACACGTTTATATAGCGAGCCGCTTGCTCCAAGCAGACACCCGCTTGCAGCCGCACCTACTGGTGAACAGACGCTGCAGACTTCAGTGAGCCCTTAAACCGAATAAGTCAGAGTGGCCCCACCGAAGCTCCCTCTCTTTCTGCCGTGACCCAAGGCTCCACTCGGATTGGTTACCGCATCTCGCACATGGGTTGCTCACGTTGCCCAGAGTGCGCGAACGAGGACGCAAGAGTCGGGATTGAGTATAGCCATGCAACTGTAACTGCATACCCAGCGCAATGACTATACCCCATTGCACTCCTCTAAATATGTATGCACTATGTATACATACAATATATGAAAGCATCTTGTTAACGGCATCAGATCTGCACTGATCATTCGATTTTCAAAACTGAGGTTCCAAATTAAAGGGCTTGGCCTGTAAATGTACAGCAAGGTATGACCTTTTTGGAAAAGGTTGCCCCTTTTTTTAGATTATAAAACCTGCACCGTCCGTTGTATTAGAAAAAAAATAGGTTTCAAATGAGAGTGCTGGGCCTTTAGATGTGCAAGAAAGTTTCATTATTTTGAATAGGGTAGCCACCTGCTTAAAAAATCATAAGACTTACACCGTTCGCGCAATTAAAAAAAAAATATACAATACGCCATATAAGGGGGCTTGGTCTATAGATCTGCAAGGAAGAACCTCTAATAAAAAGGGTTTCCACCTGTTACACTTTTTTCATGCAGAGCGTCAGAATTACTCCGTTCTCTCGAGTTTCNTGAGAGTGCTGGGCCTTTAGATGTGCAAGAAAGTTTCATTATTTTGAATAGGGTAGCCACCTGCTTAAAAAATCATAAGACTTACACCGTTCGCGCAATTAAAAAAAAAATATACAATACGCCATATAAGGGGGCTTGGTCTATAGATCTGCAAGGAAGAACCTCTAATAAAAAGGGTTTCCACCTGTTACACTTTTTTCATGCAGAGCGTCAGAATTACTCCGTTCTCTCGAGTTTCAAAATGAGGTGTCAAATTAAAGGTGTTCACCTATAGACGTGATTTGTTTTTTTTTTTAAGGGGCGCCGCCTAATTAAAATGCATTGTTTAAAATATGATAGTAAAATATCACAATATGGGTTTGAGATTAAATTAATATGTTGGTGTTTTTAATAATATAGTTGCTACTTATTATGATGTATTAAGGGCATTCGATATTGCTATCAATCGAAAGCTGCTTAAGAGTTGTTAACTAGATAATAAAGAACTGCAAAATTTAACATTTTCTGTAAAAATGTCTTTTTCAAAAATTGTATGCATTGCTATGTCATGTGAACTCAAACAACGTGTTATGCCATGTCATTCCATCTCAAACATACTGTTTTAGCATGTCGTTGCTACTTAACTAAGTTGTTATTCGCTGTTGTGCTTCTGTAGCATATTTTTAATACTGTTGGATCCTGCCTTGGATGAAAATATATACATAAATTCGACAATTCTTTAATGCATTTTACTATAATAGGTGCTTAAAAAATTTACAAAATCTCTTCCCGTATATAAAATGTAATTAATAGTGCTGACTATGTCGCATGTGTCGCATGTGTTGCTTGTGTTGACATGAATAGATTTGATGCATGATTTGATTTCAATTATTCGACAGTGTCTTCATATGTTATTGTGAAACATGTATGAGCGACATAATATGAACTGGCATTTTCATGATGTGACACATGTCGCTATTTTTTATAGTTCAACATTTACAGGCCCTCACTAGATAACAACTCTCGAAAATTCGCATACATTTATACAAAGACCATTTAACTAGCTGTCGTTTGATACCAATATCGAATGTCCTTAATACGTTACTTCCCGTTCATAGCTATATATTTTTTAATAGGTGGCAACGCTTAAAATCATGAACATATCAATTTAGTACAAGTAATTTTTAGCAAAAAAAAAAACCGACTTCAACTCTCATATAAAAAAAAAATATATATATATATATATATCTCATGATCCACTGATCGGATCTTAACCAGATTAGTATGGGACCACCTCTGAGACACTACCTTTGAGGTTGCCCAAAGTTATGCGGTAACATACATAAAAAAAAAAAATATTCCGACGAACTGATAACCTCCTCCTTTTTTGGAAGTCGGTTAATAAAAACCCTTACGCTTTGTGCCCATATTGCGATAATTTACTGAGTATCATATTTAAAGCAATAGATTTATAATTAAACCCAAAGCACATCTCTAGGTGAATACCTTTCACTTGGCACCTCATTTTAAAATCGAGAGAACGGTGTAAATCTGATGCTCTGCACAAAAAACAATGATTTTTAACAGCTGGCAACGCTTAAAAAATAATACGTTCTTCCTTGTACGGTGTAAGTTTTGTGATTTTTTAATCGGGTGGCAACCCTATTTAAAAAAATTAAACTTTCTTGCACTTCTAAAGACCCTGCCTTTTCCTTTTACACCTAACTTTTTTTTAATACAACGAGCGGTGCAGGTTTTATAATTTAAAAAAGGTGGCAACCCTTTTCAAAAATCACATACCTTGTTGTATTTTTTAAGGCCAAGCCCTTTAATTCGGAACCTCAGTTTTGGAAATCAAATAATCGGTGCAGATCTGATGCCGTTAACAAAAAATGCCTTCATGTATTGTATTTATACATAGTGCATACATGTTTAGATTTGATCTCACCCTGGTATTTGTGTATTAGGGAGTTATTAGAATCCAGATAGGAGCTTTAAAACTATTAAATTCGAGTATACACAACTCTGGAATACTTCACTTGGAACTTTGACTTTTATTTTTGGCTAAAAACTTAAATTTTTTGCTTTTTATTATAAAAGGCATAACCGTTACGGTCTCTGATTGTTATACATCGTTTTAAAGGTCTATAAATTCTTTTTTCAAAACTTGTTCGATTTTTAAAATCGGATGGAAAATAGTCAAGCTATTAATAGATAAGTGCATAAATTATGAAAATAACGGTTTTTCGGTATATAGAAATGGAGGGATCAGGAACTATACAGGACCTATTTTCAAGTTGTACTCGACCATACCTACAACCTACACTAGGTTTTATTTCGGGTGTATTTCATGACTTTTTTTGTAGCACCGTGTTATTTAACAGGCGGCAACTCTTTTCGAAAAAGTAAATCCTTATTGCACATAAAACTGCACTAAAATGAATAAAATAATTTAAGGTCTCGTTAAAGTTACTAAAAGCCATTTAGTGAAAGGATTTACTCAAACTCGAATGAAAATTACTAACAATTTGTACTAATTTACTTCGTTTTTAAAAAAGCTTGTCGGCGAATTCAGCGTAGGTACATGCATAATTGGTTAGGTATGTATATGTATGTATGTATGCAGATATTTAAATGCCGGTTTGCTATTCGCGCGTCATATATATCAATTGTCCTATAGAGGGGAGATTCATGGAGGAAAATTACCAGGGAACGAATATATGGAAATTGCCTTTTTTCTGCTAAAGAGATAGAGTATATTCGATTAAGAATGTCCACGATTTAGCTTTCCCTGATTCCATATATGCTCATGCCTTTTTTTTGCTTTTTTTAAGATATTTGCCTTTTCTACCTTTAATTGTAAAAGGCAAGGAAAAGGGTCTTATTCCTAGTAATAAGAAAGTTTTAAACGCTCCATAATTAAATTGGGCGCCACTTATATCAACCCACGTTTAGTACATTCAAGGCTTTTCTTCGCAAGAATCTAATCAGAATGCTGCCAGAAAAATTCAAAATGCATCTTGTGGTTCAATGTTACTACAACTCCAGATATTAAAGTTTTGTGAGTTAAAAACTCGAAAAGAGAAAATAGTCAAAGATTCAAAGATTCAAAGATTCAAAGTACAAGTTTTTCATATAATGAAACTAGTTCATAGTTTTTCTCTTTTACATGTAAAATAAACATTTCTAAAATAAATGTATTTTTTTATACTTTACGGTTTTTGTCTTTTTTAGTGTCTTTTTTGCGTATTGTAGTGCCCTTTCCTGCCTATTTCGCTATTTTATTTTGCCTTTTCTAGCCTATTTCGTTATTTTATTTTGCCTTTTTTACAGGTTCCCTGATCATTACCTTACCAAATGCCAAAATTTTAGTCTTATTCCGGTCTCATTGCAGAGCACTTTTTTTTTTTTTGACGCGGTCTAATGTACGTACAGTTCTGCACATAAAATAAGTTTGGTAAATTTTTGTTGAATTCGGTAAAAAATTAAAAAAAATATTGTGGCAACACTGGTTACACTACGAGTAATTTATTTTAATAAAACTCAAAATACTTAAACTCAGCCAAAAACATAAGAGATCTCCATATTTTTCTTTTTTAACCCTCTTCAAACTAATATCTTCTTAAACCTCTTTCGTCCGACACCCATATTATCTATATTTATACTCTATACAAATTATATAAAGAGAAGTCCCTTTTTTTGTAACAGGTAATCTCGCGACCGGCTGGTCCGATTTTCATGAAATTTTGAATATGAATAGCTTTCAGCAACCACCATGTTTTAGGCCATGTTTCCGGTAGGTGGACCAGGGACCGATCTATTCGAAAAAATCTTATTATGGTCCGACTTACTTAAAATTTGGTACGTAGGTAGCTTTTTGACTGGATTAGCATATAGGATCCTTTTTTCCGAGAAGTGTACCAGGGGCCCATCTATTCGAAAAAATCGTATTTATGGTCCAATTTGCTTAAAATTCGGTACGTAGGTAGCTTTTTGACTGGATTAGCATATAGGATCCTTTTTTCCGAGAAGTGTACCAGGGGCCCATCTATTCGAAAAAATCGTATTTATGGTCCAATTTGCTTAAAATTCGGTACGTAGGTAGCTTTTTGACTGGATTAGCATATAGGATCCTTTTTTCCGAGAAGTGTACCAGGGGCCCATCTATTCGAAAAAATCGTATTTATGGTCCAATTTGCTTAAAATTCGGTACGTAGGTAGCTTTTTGACTGGATTAGCATATAGGATCCTTTTTTCCGAGAAGTGTACCAGGGGCCCATCTATTCGAAAAAATCGTATTTATGGTCCAATTTGCTTAAAATTCGGTACGTAGGTAGCTTTTTGACTGGATTAGCATATAGGATCCTTTTTTCCGAGAAGTGTACCAGGGGCCCATCTATTCGAAAAAATCGTATTTATGGTCCAATTTGCTTAAAATTCGGTACGTAGGTAGCTTTTTGCCTCGATTAGCATATATGATCTTTTTTCCGCGAAATGTACCAGGGACCTATATATTCGAAAATATCGTATTTATGGTCCGATTTGCTTAACCTATACTAATTATATAAAGATAAGTCCCTTTTCTTTGTAACAGGTAATCTCGCGAACGGCTGGTCCCATTTTCATGAAATTTTGTTATAAATAGCTTTCAGCGACCACCCTGTCATAGGCCAAAAAAAAATTTCTTTTTTCTGGTAGGTGGACCAGGGACCAATCTATTCGAAAAAGTCGTGTTATGGTCCGATTTGCTTAAAATTTGGTAACTTAGTAGGTAACTTTTTGCCTAGGTTAGTATATATGATTCTTTTTCTCCGGGAAGTGGACCAGGAANTCCCATTTTCATGAAATTTTGTTATAAATAGCTTTCAGCGACCACCCTGTCATAGGCCAAAAAAAAATTTCTTTTTTCTGGTAGGTGGACCAGGGACCAATCTATTCGAAAAAGTCGTGTTATGGTCCGATTTGCTTAAAATTTGGTACGTAGGTAACTTTTTGCCTAGGTTAGTATATATGATTCTTTTTCTCCGGGAAGTGGACCAGGATCCGATCCAATCGAAGATATCGAATTAATAGTCCGCTTTGCTTAAAATTTGGTACGTAGGTAGCTTTTTGCTTAGATTAGCATATATGATTTTTTTTCGTGAATTGGGCCAGAGATCGATCTATTCGAAAAAGTTTTATTTATCGTCCGATTTGCTTGAAATTAGTACGTAGGTAGCCTTTTCCTAGATTAACATATAGGATCCATTTTTTCTTCTAATATGGTCCGTTTTGTTTGAAAATTGGCGTGTAGGCAGCTTACTGCCTGGATTAACATATAGGATACTTTTTTCTTATAGGTGGACCAGGGACCGATCTATTATATAGAATAGAATTGAATGATTGTTTTACAGTTCGAAATGTTTTAAGGTCCCGCAAAATAAGCGGGTATTGGCTACTTATCGATACTTATTATCTATACCAATTATAATAAGAGCAGTTCCACGTTTTTGTAAGAAGTGATCTCGCGAACGGCTGTACCTTTTTTTTTTTAAATAGGCTTTTTTGGTTATAGCCACCGCATATTTCTGGAAGAATTTGTGGTAGAGTCCTGGAACTTGGTATGAAGGTTTTGAAATCAATCCCATACTCTCAAAATTGGGGGCTATTGGTAAAGAGGGCGTGGCGCCTTCCAAACATACTGAAACTTTTACCTATCTATAAATACATATATCTGTGGTCATAAGCAATAATCGCCTAAGTCGAAAAACCTGAATTCGAGAAAAAACGCTTTAAAGATTTGGATTGTGATGCTAACCCCATCCAAATATTTTCATCTATAACTTTTTAAATAGCCTGGCTAACGCGATGGGAGTTTCACATGCACATAGAATAGTAGTTGCAGAAAACGATAGCATATATAACTCAACTCTTTCTTAAGTCGACTTAGCCGGTTATTGCTTATGACCACAGATATAATTCTTCGGTACGTGTGTTTTCAAGTAAACTCCTCCTAAACGACCGAAATGATTTTGATTAAATTTTTGTCCTAAAGTTCCTGTATAGTTTAGGTCCACAACTTAAAACGCCAAGTGGCGCTGGAGTCGAGTTATTAAAAATCGTATTTATGATCTGATCTGCCTAATATTCAAAATATGTATTGGTAACGTGAAGGGAAATATTTCTGCGAAATAAATGGCTCGCCAGGTGGCTCTGGAGTCGAGTTATTACTAAAAAGCGTATTTATGGTCCGATTTGCCTCATAAACAAGATGTATATTGGTAACGGTAGGGGCAATACTATTGAAAAAAAGCCGCAAGGTGGCGCTGGAGGCGAGTTATTGCTAAAAATCGTCAAGTGAAGTCATTCGGAGACACCAGGGATCAAAATCAAATTATCCCACGCTAAATCGACCACCATAACCATTGCGGTCCTTGCTTTACGGCGACTAAACAAAATAAAGACAATTCTTGATGAATGCCTACAAATCCAATTGTAAGACATTTATGATATTTCATCTGAAATAAGTCTATGTATTATCGATTTCTGTGAACCAATGATGTTCTCTAATTTTGAAATTGCCACCACCTTTTCTATACAGATTCAAGGACGATTCACCATCGAGCCGGATCATTGTTTCCGCAAGAACTTCTTCACGGACATAACGCTTTCGTTAGGTTATTTAAGACGGCTCTGGAGGATATGCTTTCTGACGACCACAAAACCAAATGTGAACGTGAATTGTGGGGAAAACTTTGTCCCAAATATTTGAAAAAAAGAAATAAATTTTGGGCTGGACGAAGTTCGCCGGGTTGCTAGTTATATTATATACATATGTTTCAATTAACTAATTCCCATAATTCCAGATGAATTTGACTTTTTAAACAGGTGGAAACCCTCCTGCATGTATTTTAGAAACGAAGCCTTTTCAAAAGCACTCCGATTGATGCCTGTATTGTACTAATTAATTTAATTTTTTAATATTTTTTATTGAGCTTTGTACCACGATTGTTTATTAGGAAAAATTGAAAAAGCAACATAGTCTAAGCGGTAGAAGTTATAGCACTATTTCGGAGATCACCACATCTCCTCATCAGACTTCTTTCTTTCTAGACTTC